TTGTAGGTAACCCACAATGTCAAATGAATACTTTTACAAGTGTTAAACATTTGAATGAAGAAATTGCAATTATAGTTATAAATTTTATTTAAGCATGTAACTGCTTGTAGGTAATACTATTCACATATTCATACAAATGCTTCAGTATCATGTCAATTTTACAAAAATTTTACACCGATTTTGACCTATGGGAGATTCTGAATCTATTGTCAGTTACTGAAATGAGGAGTTGAACATCCTACACATTACTTCGTACTACAGCATTTGCTAAAGGTTGGCATATCTCGGATATATCACAAATAAAAGTACATTAAGAAAAATAATAAGATCTGTACTGTTGATCTGCTAAACCCTTAATAATTTATAACCTCATAAATTATAACTTTGAACCTTTTCTATCACACCAGCTTTGAAATTGTAACCTCCACATCAGAATTAGTCCATTTGATTAAAGGTATATGCTACAAATTACAGTTGTACATCTAAATTCTCGAATATTGTGTATTCGAGAACACACACATAAAACTTAATATGTAAGACCTCGATTTTTGTTGATAAACGTTACTGATTTGGTAGAACAGCAGTGCCTGCCTTCGGCTCCCAAAGGTGTTGGGCTCGGTAGAGTCATTAATTCGCGTGATGGGTAATAAAGAAAAGTTTGATACAATGACATTTAATACAATTAGTGTCACGTGATAAATATTTAAACCCAAAACACTATCATGATTCTTAACCTCAACATTGTTAAAAAAATTATACCAGGCGCGCCTTCGAGTTGGTGATTAAAAAAATGTAATGCCCACTCTTGTATGACCTTTAGTAAGTTTAATTGTTTGTAATATGAATTCAAATAAATTGGATCACTTATAAAACAATAAATAAACCTATTCTGTTATCATATTCATCGAGGTACCTGGATTGACTTCCAATTGAATGAACGTATAACCCCAAAGTTTAAAACTAATTGTACGGGACGCCGGGCTGTCGCAGTAGCGGACAGTTACCGACTCGTACTGAGGGGGTGGAGGAAGTTACACGCAGGAGTCTTGACTGTAGTGGACTGTAGTTTCGGCGAATAAAACCCCTGGTGTTCGGTATTGAAGAAATCGGTGGGCGCTGATAATGGATGGCCGGTGAGAGGAGGCTTCAGGTCCAGAGTGAACCGCTTGATTGTTTCTTCCTGTTCCTTAGGGTAGGAGCGCCTGTCGCTGAATGCATGTCGGAGCATGTTCCGACTCGAATTTTATATGCTAGGACTGAGCTGGCCAGCGATCCATTACCTCACCCACACTATACTTTATTTTTCATTTTCTCAAAATTTACAATAGTGCGAGCTTAAAACTAATTGTACATACATCGGGCATACATTTAGGCATATTTTTAACATAGTTATGTGTCCGTAAACACGATATTTTAGGTGTGGCGCGCAAAAAATAGGTCTCCGCAATATTTATACTTTCCCCCTCCATAGGGCTTCGCCCTGCCACGGGGCTTCGCTGCCCCACCCGCGCGCTCCGGGCGCGCCGGGTGGGGAGCGCAACATGTCTCAGAAAACGGTTCTATACAAACATGTTTTGTCTCCTACACGGTACATTTTTACACTTATTGATGTGATACCTATTTATTTACGTAGCCCTACGTGTTACCTATCTAATACAACAAGTCTCTTACAAGAATATCAATAAACAACAGCTGTACGGCCCTATAAAGTTTACAAATTAAAAAGTCTCAAAAAACCTACTTATATTCACTTAATGCCTAACTATCATATACCGTTTCATAGAAGAAGTAAAAACACATAAAATGACATCATTATTATAACAATTATACCTATATCCTATTGACTATTCGTAAAAAACTATTCCCAATATTTTCCTTAATTACGCTTAAACTACTAACACGATTCATACAAAACTTCGATATATTATTCCTATAACTACCTACTATCTAATAAGACATAAAATAAATCAATCAAAACATAAAACATACTATTATCGAAAATTGTCAACTCAGGCAAAATCCTATAAGACGTGAGACAAGGACAACCTATTGTCTCCGTCCCTCCTATAGGTCGGAACTATCAGTATTCTGACTAGTTTCCCCGCGCCACCGCTTGGCGTCGTGGCGATCGTTTAGATAAAGTCTTATAAGATTATTGGAGAGAACGGGGCGGAATATCGCTCTGAACTATCAATTTTACAATGGTTTACTATGGGCAGAGCTATCTATTATTGCGATATCCGACTCATTCTAATAAGACAACAAGGGAATGATATTTTTAATGCGTATACAACCGATTCATGTGAAATTATAGATACATTTTTATACATTGCTCTCGTATCGTTGTAAGTTCATTTTCTCTCGCTTCGGTCGTCGCGTACACTAATTGTTTGACGTTATAACGAAACTAGACCCTAAATACTATTTAATATTTAAGATAAAGCGAAAGCATGATAATATGCAGTAATGAAGATGGTTGTTATAATTATATTGTAAGTATAAGGGTAATACGCATGTAGATGACAATCCTAAAAGAAGCTCAGCCAAAGTATTCCATCCATCAGGAAATCTCTTATATTTATGCATCTATTGTATACCTAGTAGTTACCTGATATTATGATCCTGTCAGTGCTTATAAATAAAGAGATCACTACAATTATACTTCCGATAATACCAACTAATAGTCAGATAATTCAATATCCTTGACATAAATAGTATGTTATGGTAGCCATACACACTACGAGAAATCGTTACGATTAGACTGTACAGTCCGAACGGTACCGATAAATCGTAGCGTGTATATTATAAAACTGCACAGTTTCCTATACGTACGCCACGTACGATAAACTGTTCCGTTTGAACTGTACAGTCGGATCGTAACGATTTCTCGTAGTGTGTATGGCTACCATTAAAAAGTATCGCGAATGTTGCGATTTCCGATTTTATGGCAGTATATTGGTTCTCATGTGGATGACAAAGTTCGGCATTTGGAATGATTGGTTGATATTTGACAGCTTTTTTATCCTGGAGGTGTTTTGGCTCATCTTCGATTTCTTATTGCATATTTCCTAAAACTGGGATTACCGTTTCTGTAACAAGTTTTGTTAAAACAAAACTAATAGCTCTGACAAATTCCAACTGATAGCTGTGGCATATGATGAAGCTACCTTGGTCTTAATCAACATTTATCGGCGATACAAAAGTTTCTCAGAGGGCCGAGAGGATGTGAACGACAAAGAGCATGTGAGACGCTAACAAAAGACGAAAGTATTGATAAAAATAAATATTAGCCAATCGTCGCATCACCATTAGACAAGTTGCTGAGGACCTAAGCAATTTAACATAGGCTCATGCCATTCTGTTGCTTTCAATTATTTAGGCATGAGACGGTTCGCCGCGAAATTTGTACAAAAAATCTTTTCTCAGGTGCTTCTAAGCGATTTTTTGGCCAAGAGCAACACACTAATGATACCGCATCAACCCACATTCCCCAGATCTGACCCCGTGTGACTTTTCCTGTTCCCAAAACTGAAAAGGTCCATCAAAGGAGACGTTACTCCATCGTCACGACGAAGGCTGAATAAGATCACAAAGAACGATTTTCTTTATGTTTCGAGCATTGGAAAAGGCATTTGTATCATGTATGATATCCAAGAGGAGTTCTTTGAAAGGAACTAAATAGATATTTATGAATACTAAAATGAAAACGTCTTGAATAAGAATAAAATTCGCGATACTATTTAAACAGACCTCGTGTGTCCCTAAATGCGATAAAATCCATCCATATTGTCCACACAATATTGGAGATATTGGAGAGTCCACCGATATTTCGGATTCAAGAAAGTGTTTAGTGTTCGGTATTTTAAAGAATCCGAAAATCACCACTTATCCTCGTTATTATCTCGTCCATATCCGCATCTACTTTTAGCGTGATCAGTTTATAGCGTGAGACGTTCATAAGAAGTAATGCGCAGAGTAAAATAGTTGAAACAAATTAATCATGCTAAAATCTTTTACGGGGATGGCAGAGCATTATAGGTGCGACACATAAGGCAGTTGAATATACTAAATACTAATAACGATACCTTAGATATACCTACAATTTAATAATGTAGCCCAAAAATAACAAGGTGTCACGTCAGCGTGTACTTTATATCTAAAGAGTACCAGCCTAATACAATCGTATCCTTAGCTTTTACTATCGTTATAATCTTGCACATTCTATGGTTTACTTCCTTCAGTCCAGCTCGAAAGTTATAATGCTTATGACAAGCCCAGAAGTGTTAAACGCTACATAACTTCACGTGGTGGAATTAGGTGCGCGTTAGGGATGTCGAAAGTTGAAAAAAATATCGATATATCGATACATCGATATTTAAAAAATATCAATGTCGGCTTCGATATATCGCGAAAAAAACATCGATATATCGGACCAATTTTCCCAAAAATATGTTTAGGTCAGCCTAGCACAATAATAATAGTTCAATACAAATTATAATTAAAGAAAGAATTATCAAAGTACCAAATTGCCACTACACTACATGACAGTACAGTATCTCACGAAATATGACACGCAGAATAATAATGGAACGAAAATTATCTCCCTAAAATTTGACCCTATTTTCGAATGATGAAAATGATTGCAGGGCCTCTCAGGTACCATCTTTCGTTAAGATGACTGGACAGTCACACACTTCCACAGAATATAATGGAAATCAGCACAACCAATTCACCAGCGAAACAGATTTACAAATAATAGACAATATTAAATACAGCACAGATCATAGATTTGTTGAATATCATTGATCTGAGATCCAGTTACGATTTTTCTATGCCGCTAATAATTAAAAAAATATCGGTTTTGATACGAATTTTGATATCGGTCATTTTGTATCGATGTATCGATATATCGAATCAAAATATATCGGCAAAAAATATCGATATATCGATACATCGATATATTTTCAACAAGCCTAGTGCGCGTCGGCGCGCGAGCAACACCAGTGGCAATATCACAGGTGAGGGAATCGCGCGCATCGCGGGCGGCGCGCGGCGGCGCATGGCGGCCGGTGCGGCGCGCTATCACTGGCGCGCTTATCAGTGCTCGATTAGATACCGGCGCGCGCGAACCGCACCACGCGGCCGGCACCCACACGCCGACACCGCCGGACCACGCCGACTCCGGCCGCTGCCCCGCCACCGCCGACTACACCACCGCAACCATGAGGAGCAAGGACCGTCTGCCAGAACTCCAGCGAGTGAGTGCTCTCGCCCTAACTCAAACACCAGATAAGCGAACCTTTTAAACGATGCCCTCATAATCATACACGATAACGTACCAGCGAATATCGCCCACCTATCTATCGAACGAGGTGAATCCATGCGCCAAGGTTGGATAATTGCTTGTGTCAATATTATGTGCGAGTTAGTTATCTCGTGTTTCTTTATGAAATAAATTATCGTGTACATTCAAAGGTCGATTGTGCCGTTCCGTTTGATATTATTCTTGCGAGATGTGCATATTGTAGTGTCTAGTTGTTGTTTATTGTTGTGCACATGATCATCGCTGCGCCGGCGGCGTGCGAGGTCATCGACCCTCGTCTCCGAGGATGAATCTTCTACTTGAGTGAGTCCGCGACGCCAAAAAATGTGATTCGTGCCGCTACTGTGGTTTAAGGATCGACGGCGTGCAGAGAAATGTGCAATATGTTGTACTGGATGCTATTGGAGCTGCAGTGATGTGCAGAGCATGATACATAATAAAAATAACTAGGACGCGGCTCGACGACGCGCCGTCTCATCTCGTGAATTAAGTTCATTGTTATCTGTATTGCGTCCAGACTCAGGATTAAGCAGCGCATTCACGAAGAAGATTAGTTTTAATTCCTAAACACACACATTACAATACCGGTAATGTGTAGCCAAGGGGACAAGGAACTTCTTATGTTATGCCACCTCGCAATTAAGTTAGTTATTCTATTCAACACAAACAAACAATTGAATCTTTCCTTTTTATAATATTTTTTTTTATATAAAGTGAATTATCTTTTTTAAGTAGAAAAAAAAGTTTTTACTTTACAATCATTGTATTACATTATGATAGTCCTTGTTTCGTGTGATATCTAAATTTTTTGAGAGACTCTGGGTACGGAGCTTCAAAATGTCCGATCAGTCGACTGCACATAATCATGTGCACACAGGACTTTATGATGGTAAAAGGCGTAACATCTTGTGACAGAAGTATCAACATGGTACTTACAAGAGATAACAGATACTCATAGCCACACCTCGGTGACGTCACATTTGATATTGGTCAAGTTTGAGATGTCGTCTGTAAAACTACTAGTAATGCGAGAATGCCACAGGCTCTTAGGACATTGTTCAAAAGTTTCCAAAAGGTACTCTGGCATTTTACTATTAACGCGAGAATGCAGCTGGACAATTCTCTGTTTTTATCTGTGTTAAAGAAAAGAAGAAGAAGAAAGAAAGAAAGCGTATGGCCCTCATAAGTTTAATTTAAATTTAAGTAAAACTAAATATTTAGCATTCTAGTCACGACCATCCTTGCAACCAGCATTGAATCAAATAAAGATCAGAGCACATGTAGGTCGGTGCTGAGCAGCTGAATGCAGTTGTCTATCGCTAACACAAACTGACTCAATCAAATATCTAGGAGTTATACTGGATCAGTGTCTTAATTGGTATGATCAGTTGCAAAGTGTAAGCAGTCGTATTCGGAAACTAATTTACATTTTCAAAAAGCTGCGAAATTCAGTCAATATTGATACACTTAAGATGGTATACTTTGCACTGTGTGAATCTTTGTTGTTTTACTGTATCTCCGTCTGGGGGGCTGCTTCAAAAACAATGTTCATTAACCTCGAAAGGGCACTGGAATTGAATAAATATCATTTATTCAATTCAATTTGTAAGAAAGAGTAGTGGTACCACTAAAGACACTGCCAATTAGAGTGTTTTTTTTAAAACGCATGTTTATACCTTATTTTTTTTGTAAAAGTACAGGAGGTAAGTTATCAATTATGTAGTATTAGTCTTATAATAAATTACAACTCTGCAGAGGTTTCAATATTTTATTGAATCACCAACTAGGACGACGATCGCAGAAAAAGTTACTCAAACTACGGTGGAGCGCTCTTTTATAACTCTAAACCTCCACACATTTGTCACTTTTCATAGATTAACGTCTTTATGCAGCTTGTCTATGAACGGTATCATAGCCAATACTTCATAAAGACGGGCACACACCATCCCATAAGATTCGCAAAGCCAATGTCACCATACAGCCAACACGGCATAGACCCTACGTTTATGCAACCACCTTGAATATGAATGATCAATCGACATTACATCGATTAATCATTCAGATATCAAACTCTGCTACACCGGAAGTGTTTCCGCGTACTAACAAGTCATATTTAAATTATAGAAAATGGCAACATTGGCATAACGTCACATACGGAATGTCATGTCATCAAAACATACTAGCGTTAGAAAAATTACATGTTTTGCTTAACTAAAGTAGAGTTTAATAATTATAACTAACACTAGGTAGTCACATTTACACTATTTTGCACTATTTAACATAACATGAATCCAAAATGTCAGCTATGCGATACCAGGTTATCACTCGCGTGTATCTTTGGCTCTGTTTCTGTGTCTCACTACGGGAAAACGAAACTAAGGCTCAATACAGAAAAGAATTATGCGGCTATACTCCTCTGTAGGATGAGAGAAAAGCTATGGTCTATGGACGCTTCAATCGACTATGTTTTATACTTCTTTAATATTTACTGTTCTCTCCATCATCATCATCATCAGTCTATTAATGTCCCCACTGCTGGGACACACGCCTTCCCTATGATAGGGAGATTGAACCATGAATGATTTTTGAATTGATGATGATTGGATTGGTGGGTGCTAACGACTGCAGATGCTGCCGAAACCAATGGCTTAACGTAACATCTAAAGCACGGAGGAGCTCAAGATAATCAATTTTTGGTCACCCATCCAATGACCGACCACTGCGTAAGTTGCTTGATTTCAACGATCGCAACCGAAAGCGCTAACCACTTGCGCCAACGAGCTCGTATGCAATATGCATTTTCACTCCAGTATAAGAGATTTGTATTAATGTTGCGCCCCTGTCGTATTTCAGGTGCTGGGGTCTGGTGCCGCCGCCGGCGAGGAGGAGGTGCTTCTGGAGCCGCCCCAACCAGACCCTGACGTCGAAGCCATGTTTCAGGAGGTATGCATACTGCCTCATACGTTCCACTCCACAGAACGGTATAAAGGATATAATAATTGTAGTTTTTTTATAACTAACGCAAATGACTCTACCCTACCTGATGTTAATTGGTAGTAAAGTCCAGATGCGAAGATAGCTTGTGCAGCAAGTATAAACTGCCACACCAACCATCCTCACCTTACCGGCCGACTGAAATGCCATCATCATGACATCCATTTGTAGCAAGGAGGGATGCGTGTTCCGGACAAAGAATTCTACTTGCGAATAGTACGACAAAGAAATGAGTCACTAAATTTCTTTGTTGGCAGTTCTGCAGACAGGCAGTCTAATATGAGCAGACACTCCGCCCCTACGTCGTCCTTTTAGTAGGGTTAGTAAACAGTCTATGGCAGATTTTTAATCTAGTCATAGATTTATAGAGAAATAATCACAATTATTAGTATGACAAGTTGACAAGAAGAAGTTCAAGTCCATAGTAAGTTACATTATGTATTTAGCAACTTACAATGTTACACATTTTTAGTGTTTGTTATATAACATAACTTTTTAAGTTGCAACAAATCCCAATATCTTTCCATACATCACTCTATTAAATTAATTAGTAACTACAGAAAGAATCTTTTAGACATTTCAATTCGGCCCAGATATTAAGCTGGAATGGAATCAGTGTCATCTACCTATCGGACGAATGCACCTGCCGCTATACACTGCCGAAACTTTTGAAAATTAAACTATATTGAGCTACAAGACAAACTCTAGCAATTTAATGCCGATTGCCGAAAGAAATATAAGTTAAAATAATACTTCGACATTATTTGTTTTATTGTGATTAAAAAGAAATAGTTACAATGCTGCATTTAGAATTTTGATTTATATAGCTTTTTATATTTATCGCAAAATTAATTTGAATCTTTGTTGGTATTTCTTTTAAGTTATTGTTAATTTGTAATTTCTATCCTACGTTATCTTTTTTTTTTTGAAATGAATACAAAGTGAGTTTCTGTAATTGGCTAAAGTACCGTTTAAAAATTTATATTACGTAATGTTGTGTAAAACGCTGTTGAAACATGTAAAATAAAAATAAATAAATTTCCACCTAATTTATGTTCAAAATGCTATTTAGCTTAGCAGCTGGGTTGAGATAACAATATTACAATCGCTCCTGATCTAGTATAACCAATGGTCAACATCACAATTCATGAACAATCAACGATGTAGCGCGGCATCGTATTAATTAAACTCATTAATATATAACTGGCGCGCGCATGCCGTGGCGCATGGCGTCGAGAGCTAATGCATGGTATTGGGAAGTGATATTTCACTAATGTGTATTTATTAATCTACTAGCGGCCCGCCCTCGCTTCGCTTTCGGTGTAGAGCTGAAGTGTAGGTTACAGTTTTTGTTCTCAGGCTTGTGTTATACACAATGACATTCATCTATGATTCTACATATACCTGAATGCAAAGTCTCAGCCCGATCGGTTTAAAATTGACAAAGTTTCATACAAACTTTCATTCTCTATTTTATCCCCTTGACTTGGAGATTTAGCAAATTTGCTGCAAGTTGGCTTAAAAGTACCTAATATTTACTACAATATTGGCTTATATTTTACAACTAGTGGCCCGCCCTCGCTTCGCTTCGGGGTAGAATTGATCAAAATCCTTTCTTAGAGGATGCCTACGTCATAACATCTACCTGCATGCCAAATTTCAGCCCGATCCGTCCAATTGTTTGGCCTGTGCGTTGATATAGATCACTATGTCAGTCACCTTTGAGTTTTATATATATAGAAGATTTCACTTTATCGTCCTTTCGACTCTAGTACTCGGTAAAGTATAGATAACACATTTGGCATTTGTGCTAAAGGTAATTAATGTTACCTTGCGTCGCTAAGTATATTGTATATCTTATAATTATGAATTTTTAACCGCTAATTATACTAATAAGTAGGTACCGCCTTTATTAAGCAGACAGACACAAGTATTTCTAAGAAACAATGATGATGCAAAGATAACAGGCGAAACACGTAGCTATCCACGAACTGCATCTTAGCTTGAATTGCAGTATAGACAAGCAATTTACCTTAATTATTACACAGCATAAGAGGTAATGATCAGAAATAAGTATAGGAAAAACAATATAAACATTCCTTAGTTAAGCATTTAAAGCAATTGGTTCAAAAGGTCACAATAATATTGTATCCGTGAACCGTTCAAAACTTGCGAAAACATTTTAAACTATCGCCAAACGAGAAACAATTCTATGCGGTTTCGTTTAGCGTTTACTTTGTGTTTGTAATTAATGTTTGTTTGGTGACAGTGAGTGTAGAACAATGAGTCATTTAACATACAATAATACAAATGAGTAGTGTGCGCGCTATTTGTGTCAAGTGAAGTGGCGCGCGGTCACAATTGGACCTCTGCCTGCTCTGACACCCCCGCTTCCTTTTACTCCAAATGTATCTATAGAATCACTAGCCATCTAAATATTCCAGGTATAAGTTAGTAAAGTATGTTTCCCTATATCTTACTCGAGACGTCGCCAACTTCGACATTTGTAGGCATCAATTGTTTCCCGCAAAATTTAGTAACAAGTTGGAATATCACATAAAAAAGACCATGAACCGCTTTATCCGTTAATTTATGCAAAACCTAATAGAAATCTAAAGTATCCTTCAAATTCTTTTTATTACAAAAGATATATTTCCTTATATTTTTTGAAGTTATACTTCTTTTTTAAGCGCGTTATGAAAAAATTATGAGAGTGAAATTTTAAGATGCGCGCGCATCACTGTAACACAAAATTTTAACAGCATGAAGTTGGTCGCTTTAGCGACCAACTTCACGCTGTTACTTTTGTGTTTACCGCACATTAAGAAAATGTACCAACAAAATAGAAATAGAATCTCTATTTAGTGGGTGCTAACGACTGCATTTTGAAGGCCTATCAAAAGTATTTATTAATCTGGAACAACGGAACCAAAGCGCGATTCAGGAGACTATGGACCCACTGTTGAAAAATATTATGTATAATATTATTCTTGAATATCTAATGGGTCCCGACTGATAAAGTAGCTTTGTTCCTTATTAACAGAATTATAGACTACTGGACTTGTTTTTTTCTTTTCAGTTTTTATTTGAAGTATAATTAAGCAGTCGGGTATTTTGATTTTTTAAATTTACCTTTTTTTTATTATTTTCATTTATTATTCGCCTTGCTTTATTTTTTCTAGTAAACTTTTCTTTAGATTTAAACATCTAGCAGTTAAATTATTAAAAAATAAATAAAAATATAACTATAATTGTTATTTCTTCTTTTAAATGTTTAATACTTGAAAAAGTATTCATTTGACATTGTGGGTTACCTACAATGCAAAGAGATGGCGCTGCCTTGCAGCTTAAGGCTAGGAAAATTTCGACGCGGTCAATAGGGCCGTGGTAGCATAATGGTCAGTGCGTTCCCCCGGTTCGAGACCCGTTCGCTGCCTGGTCCGCGTGGTTTTTTTTCTACTGTATTTATTTATAAAAGCCGCTGAGAATGTTACGTCTGGTGTTCCAGGTAGATCGCATGCGGGGCTGGATCAACGAGCTTAACGGCAACACGCAGCTGGTGCGCCGCCTGCACGCCGACCCCACCTTCCACACCAATAAGCGTGCGTATCCCCGCGGCACAACAATTCCACGTCCGCGTCACATCCGCGCCACAGCGACGCCACGTTGCCACCACTTTCATGCTACACCACTGTAATGGCTGCCGCAGTTCGTGCACTCGTGTTCATACTTTGCCAAAAAAGATGGGGGTTGTGAGCATATCCTTAATACGATTAATTATACCGCGCCGCTGCGGCTCGCTAAGCAATTCCTATCTTAAAGTCTGTCTTAAATAATTATATTGAGGAAGGTGATTTTTTTTATCATCTATACTTATATGTACTTACGTATTTACATAGACTGCTTAAACCACAACCCTTCCTTTTGGCTTTGCCGTTAGTCGGGAAAAATAAGAAAAATGTAGCGCTCTCACAGCACTGAGACACCAATATTCACAGTAATAGAAATAACTAAAAATTGATAAAGTTAATTTCGAATCATAATCATCATCAGCCGATGGACGTCCACTGCTGGACATAGGCCTCCTCAAGGTATTTCCATATGGAACGACCCTGCGCTCTCCGTTCCTCCCGTCCAGTCCACCTCGTGAGGGGTCTACCGCCATGCGAGGTCGCCATTAAAGCACCTTGGGACCCCAACGTTCATCGGTTCGCTGAGCTATGTGCCCCGCCCATTGCCACTTCAGCTTAGCGATCCATTGAGCTATGTCGGATGTTCTTGTTCTTCTACGGATTTCCTCTTTCCTGATTCGATCACATAGAAAAACACCAAGCATAGCTCTTTCCATCGCTCGCTGTGCGACTCCGAGCCTTCTTATGAGGCCCATAGTCAACGACCACGTCTCAGCTTCGTAGTTATCACTGGCAACACGCACTGTTCGAAGACCTTAATCTTCAGGCACTGAGGTATTTCGGACAAGAAGATATCGCGTAGCTTCCCAAACGCTGCCAAACCGAGTTCGATTCGGCGGTTTACCTCATTCTCGAAATTAGACTTACCCAAATGGACTATTTGTCCTAGATATTATATATTTATCTACAATTTCGAGTGCAGAGTTCTCAATAATTACTGAGTGGCGCAGAACACGAGCATAATTTTTGTCTTACTCATATTCATTTTAAGGCCCACTTGTTGAGAGGCTCTGCTAAGATCATTGAGCATTGTATTTAGATCCTCCAAAGTGTCTGCAATAACGACTATATCATCGGCAAATCGAAGGTGAGTGATGTACTCGTCGTTCACGTTGATGTCAAATCCGCTCCACTCCAGAAGACTTCTTCCAACGCAGCGGTAAACAGTTTCGGGGAGATCACATCTCCCTGTCGCACTCCTCGCTGCAGTTGGATAGGTCTCGTAGTCTGGTCTTGTATACGGACTGTCATAGTGCCGTTTTTGTACAAACTCTTCAGCACATGGATATAGCGATAGTCGATACGGCATCTCTGTAAGGACCTCAACACAGCCCATGTTTCCACCGAATCAAAGACTTTCTCATATGTCACAAACGCTAAGCATAGTGGCAAATATTCCTGATACTGATATTGTGTTAATTACGGAACCACAGATTATTTAATAGTTACACGGAATCTTACACTGCTCGTGGTACGACACGTACTTAGCTGGTTTTTATCCTTTGAGTACGAAACCCTAATAACCATCACAATGTTTAATTTTTTGTCTCCAAAAGTATTAACTGATCAGATCTTCACCTAATTAATAGATTGTGTCCATTTAGTTCTACTAGTAGAACTAACCGTACGTTTTGTCCTAATAATAAAAATAAACGGAGAAAAAAAATCTTGAAGATCATGTAGTTTTACGATGACTTCTACTATAGGGCTGAACAGTAAATTCATCAACATTTGTTATATTTTTGAGGAACGTTCAAAAACAACTTTATATTTGAAAGGATGGCCTTTTGTGGCTTAATAATAAATATAAAACTTGTCTATTTCACAACTTACGTAAGAAAGATTTTTAAACAGAACAAAAAGCATACAACGTCTCAGCTCGTTTAGGCCTTCTTTAGCTTTACTGGAATGTAACCAAATACCAGGTCACTAAGAAAGTTGTGCGAAAAAAAGTTTTTATGTATAAGACACTGGCCATTCTTGCCATACCGTGCGTTTCCGTATACCCATCGCTCGTTAGGTAACCTGAAATTGTGAATTTTACAGAGCTGCAAGACCAGCTGGACTCGCTCGTGACGCAGTCGCACGCCACGGCGGCGAAGGTATGCGGGGCGCTACGACAGTTCGAGGAGCGCGCGCGCTCGCGGGGCGGGGACGCGCGCACCCGCATGGCGCGCCTGCAGTACGCCGCCACCAGGCACCTGTACGCCGACGGGCTGCACCGGCACCACCACGCCCTCGCCGCGCTGCGGGACAACCGCCTGCACCTGCTGCACGAACAGATCAAACTCAGTCAGTCGCTTCGCTTTCATACATCTCTTATCTATTAGATAAGTCCGTCCGTCCGTCCGTCCGTCTGTGGTGCTGTTTCAGCGGCCAAACCGTAAGAGATAGATGAAGAGAATGTTTAAGTTATAAGTTAAGAATAGTCTGATAAGACTACAAACCGGATTTGAGTAACGTAGCACTTCCGGTTTTCGAGAAATCACGAATTTCAAACGAAACCACACAAAATCTCCGAAGTTCTCAATTAATTAAATACATTTTTTTTTAATAACTAGTGGCTCGCCCTCGCTTCGCTTCGGTGTAGAGCAGAAGTGTAGACTACAGGTTTGTTCTCAGGCTTGTATTATACATAATGACATTTATCTATGATTTCTCTTATACCTCAGCCCGATCGGTTTAAAATTGACAAAATTTCATACAAACTTTCATTCCCTATTTTATCCCCTTGGGAGTAGAATTGATCAAAATCCTTTCTTAGCGGATGCCTACGTTATAGCATCTACCTGCATGCCAAATTTCAGCCCGATTCGTCCAGTGGTTTGGGCTGTCCGTTGATAGATCACTATGTCAGTCAGTCACCTTTGAGTTTTATATATATAGATGTTTGACGACCTCCGTCGCCGAGTAGTTTGTACGCCGAGTTTCAAGATGTCGCCTACTCAAGCGGTCCCGGGTTCGAATCGCAGTGGGACAATAATGTTTGCATGATGAATACGAGCGTTAGCACTACAAGTAATGGATGTTGAATATGTATTTCTATATAAATATACTTATATATGTACAGTATATGTATTCTATCCGTTACCCTAGTATCCCATAACACAAGCCTTATAGTGCTTAGCTTGGGGCAAGGCCAATTGGTGTGAGTGTTGGAAATATTTATTTATTTATTATTTATTTATTCCGGCGCGGGGTCACTGGCCGACCTAGAGGAGCGCGCAGGTCAACGACCCCCGCTAACTACCACATAATCTTGCCGCGAAGCGTTTGCACGCCAGGGTTGCAACCCTACTCACTATTTCATTATATCAAATAAAAAATACAATAATATTAGTGTTACAATAATCTACCTTCATAATACAAGTAGTTTAACCCTAGAGTTCAAGGTATGGAAACATCAGGGTAATGATCTATGGTGTTTATAGAGACGTCATACACGCTTCTGATTTGGCACGCTCTCTCGCCGCGGTCACACTTTGCTACAACGTGAACATTATTTATTTTGATAGTTGCTAACACCATTGACATGTAGAGGCTAAAAAGCGATATGTAATTTGCTTTATGAATGAGAGTGAAAGAGACTACTTTAGTGAGCTCTATTGACGGCTGTTGCCAAGGAATGCAATATATTATACGTCATTGGCAATCATAGTACACTCGTGGAAAGACCCGCTCTGTCACCCATAATGCCATAATCGCTTGCGGTAGCGGCGTAGTAAAATTTCATTCATAGACATGTAATTATCGCTGTCTTACTTTTTCGTACAGCGCTGTCGCGATCACGATGCGGATGACAAATTGCATTTAAAACAAATTCAATTCGGTTCATTATTCAATCAATGAAATGCTCTTTGTCTTACTTTTGTGCGGCGGCCCGGATTGGCGCGTCCGACGCGAAGGCGGGGCGTAGTAAAAACTACTGTAGAAAACCGTTCAAAGGATTTTGTTCGCCAAGTGACAGAGCGCAAAATTCCGCGATAGTACCTAGATACATCTCTTTGTCTCATTTGTAGGGAGTATGTATTTAATAAAACACTTGAACGGATTATATTCCGAGTAGTATAATAGATTTTTTACATGTCTAGTTCTTGATGTTTGGGGATCCCAAACGTACTCCAAAAATGTCTTCAGGCAACGATTTAAAAAATGTTTAATTAAAGCATTTATATGCGTGAAAAATAATAACCTATGCCATAATCAAAAGTAAAAATTACCGTTTTTGCATTGTAATTGCTCCCTGGCCCAAATCCTTAAGATGACTTCATAAAAGTAACAACCTTGTAATGTGCAATCGTGCATTGTATGTTTGGAAGTAGATCAACAAACCTCGGTGTAGTTAGCACCTCGTCGCGCGGGATCACTCGCAGCTTCCTTGAGTTTAAGAACCGCAGCGATCGAGTCAACAACCGAACGGCCTCACTTCAACGAGTCATCAATTAACAAATGCAAACCGTTTCTGATTTCAGCTAATCTCACCATTTCCGATGAGGAGTGCCAGAATCTTCTCGACTCAAAAAATATTTCACTGTTTGTCGATAATGTAAGTACAATAATTTATTTACTAATTTTCATCTTGCATTGGCAATATTTCAAAGTATACAACTTTATCATTATCATCAGCGAATAATAAAATTGTCCGTCTTCTGCCGTGACATGTATTAGGCACAATGTAGGGAAGGGAAAGAATGCTGTAGGAGGGCTTCTTTATGGTTGCAAATTCATTCATTAGAAACAACAAGCCCTGACTCAAGAGTCTGAATGCTGACTCATGTTAACTCAGAGTCTTCTACTGCAGCACAGAAGTGAGTGGTATTTGTTAAATTTTCTTACTTCAGCAAGGCCGGGATTGTAAATCTGAACTAAATATATAATGGAGTATCTTCTAATGGATAAATAACATGCTTATTTATCAACTTTCGATTTTTCCGTCTGACTAACTTTTCCCATTCACCATGACCATGACACATTGTTAATGAATTACCGAATTTGTGAAAGACAACGAGTCATCTAATTTAATTATCCTGATTTTTTCGTTTTATACTAAACTAGCTTTTGTGTTTAAATCTAAAGAAAATATAACTAGAAAAAATTCCACGCGGACCAGGCAGCAGACGAGACTCGAACCCGCACCCTTCGCAATCCGGGCGAATGCACTGACCAATTATGCTACCGCGGCCCTCACGGACCGCGTCGAAATTCTTCTTATTTAAACATCAAGCAGTTACATGCTTTAAAAATAATAAAATTTATAACTATAATTGCTATTACTTCTTTCAAATGTTTAATACTTGTAAAAGTATTCATTTGACATTGTGGGTTACCTATAATGCGAAGAGATGGCGCTGCCTTGCAGCTTAAGAATGGCTAGAAGAATTTCGACGCGGTCCGTGAGGGCCGCGGTAGCATAATTGGTCAGTGCATTCGCCCGGATTGCGAAGGGTGCGGGTTCGAGTCCCGTCTGCTGCCTGGTCCGCGTGGAATTTTTTCTAGTTATATTTTCTTTAGATTTAAACATCAAGCAGTTACATGCTTTAAAAATAATAAAATTTATAGCTTTTGTGATTATAATTTATTTATTTTTTAAGCAACAGGCCCTGGCAACTGCTAAATGTTTAAATTTTCTTTACATTAAAACTAGCTTTTGCTTCGCTCGCGTTATATTTAATTTTGAGTGAATTAATTAATGTCAAACTCGGCGCAATTCGTTCAGTGGTTTGAGCTGTGCGTTGATAGATCAGTCAGTCAGTGACGGTTGCCTCTTACAGACTAGCTTTCAGTCTGCACATTGAAGGCTGTGCTTTACTGCGTTTTCAAGGTTGTGGTTTACTAACGTATTTGCATGAATCATGCGGTTCTCAGTTGAAGGCGGAGACTGCGGAGGCGCGGCGCGCGCTGCGAGAGGTGGAGGCGCGCCACGAGGAGCTCGCGCGGCTCGAGGCGTCTCTGCAGGAGGTGCGAGACCTGTTCCAGCAGCTGGCGTACCTGGTCGCGCAACAGGTACGTACTATATACGTGAGGTGGAGGCGCGCCACGAGGAGCTCGCGCGGCTCGAGGCGTCTCTGCAGGAGGTGCGAGACCTGTTCCAGCAGCTGGCGTACCTGGTCGCGCAACAGGTACGTACTATATACGTGAGGTGGAGGCGCGCCACGAGGAGCTCGCGCGGCTCGAGGCGTCTCTGCAGGAGGTGCGAGACCTGTTCCAGCAGCTGGCGTACCTGGTCGCGCAACAGGTACGTACTATATACGTGAGGTGGAGGCGCGCCACGAGGAGCTCGCGCGGCTCGAGGCGTCTCTGCAGGAGGTGCGAGACCTGTTCCAGCAGCTGGCGTACCTGGTCGCGCAACAGGTACGTACTATATACGTGAGGTGGAGGCGCGCCACGAGGAGCTCGCGCGGCTCGAGGCGTCTCTGCAGGAGGTGCGAGACCTGTTCCAGCAGCTGGCGTACCTGGTCGCGCAACAGGTACGTACTATATACGTGAGGTGGAGGCGCGTGATTGTTAAGCAAATCCTATGTAGGCTGCCTTGGATTGGGCCGTAGAACCGATACCAATCGCTGCGAATCATTTGGCAAAATCAAAATTTCTTTATTCAAATTGAATTCACTGGACAACTGTTTTGTATCGTCCAAAAGAATTAGTTACCTACCACTCGTTATTAGAGATATGTTTTAGTAACGAAGAAAAATGAAGTACACAACATTAAAATATAATAATGTAACAACATTTATAAACCATTATGTTGTTATAACCTCTATACAATCATGATATTTGATTTCATATAGAAAACCTGTTGGAATGATTTGAAAGTTCAAACCCAAGCATTTTTGGCTGTAATATAATCAGACATTTTGCAATAAGCTTTTTAAATAGGTACTTTTTGATAGTATCTTTGATTATGTTTGATATTTATGGTTAACTGTTGGATATTGCTTGGGACTTTATTGCATAAGCAAACACAAGGACCCTAAATGAAAATTATTGCTTTTGTGAAGCCAGGTAGCAGGTAAAGTTAGTTTAATTTTATATCTTGTATTAAGTGTGTGTACATCACTGTTTTTAAGGAACAAGTTAATAATATTTCTTGCAAATAATAAATTTAGGTATAGGTATTGATGCGACCGTCATTATGCCAATTTCTTTAAACGCTAAGGATTCTTTAACTTTAAGACTATAAATTGATCGAATAGCTCTCTCCTGCAGCACCGAAATAGCTTGAATGACACCTGCGTTAACCCACAGTAAAATAACGTACAAATAACTAAGTTACAGTAATCTGGACGTATCTACACTCGTTAACTGACGTATCTTCATTACGGCATATGCTGCAGAGCTAGCTCTGTTTGATAATTTATCAATACGTGGGGCCCATTTAAGCTAAGAATGCAAAGTAATCCTAAGGGATACAGTGGTGTCCACAAGAACCATATTCCTATCTTTTACATTCGTGATGTAATCTAATCTCACGAAAATAAAATATCTTTTACTTTGAGACTACTACTGTCAAACTGCTAGTGAATATCGATTGTCTGTTTAAATTATGCCAGGAATCCAAAGAGAACATCTGACTATAGAACGCCATCTGACCATAGACATGTGAACCTATCAGGGATACGATTCACCGGTACCGTTTTGATTGCAGCAAGAGCAGATCGACAGCGTGGAATACTTCGCGCTGCAGGCCACCGGGTACGTGGAGCTGGGCGGGCAGCAGCTGCTCAGCGGGAAGGTCAGCCACAAGCGCGCCAATCAGGTACCGACACCCGCACACACTATACTATTATTTTTATTTTAAAAGAGTGGCAAATGAGCATATGGCCGCCTCGATGGTAAGCGGACACCATAGCCTATACACACTCGTGATAAAAAAAAATTGTGTGTGTCAGCTCCGACGCACGATTGGAGTTTACTCCTTAAGTTCGATAGTCTAACCAGACGCAAAGAGTTTATTTAACTTAAAAAAGATTGATACTGTATGAAAGGGTAAATTAACAAATTAATGAAAATAATATACATATATAAATATATATTTATTCATTTTACATACATTTATTAAAACTAATCGACGAAATATTTTACATTAAACTTTTTACAATAGTCAATTTCAGATGTGCATAAATATATTATTTTAAGTTATTGTACATCTTAGTGTTTTTATTTGTTTTTTTACCTTAAGTCATGGTGGGCGATAACAGAGTCATGTTGTTAAGTTAAATATTTGTAAGGACAAAACTCAGTTTGTCCTTGGTGGGCGATTATGTATATGCCATTTATTTGTGCATTTAAAATTTTAGTTCATATGTATCAAAATAGATGGCGCTGTAGTTCGTTGCATCACGCTTGTAAATATGTTTGGAGCTACATATAGGCAAAACGGCACCTAACTAATAAAGAAATCTATGGTCTAACAAGATACACTGTAGTTTAAATTTAATTCTTTTGCACCTAAGCTCTCGGATTTCAGTCATTTTGACTCGAACAGGATGCGCATCAAAAACGTAACGAGGTCATTCATCGATAGATTGAACTCCTCACATTTTTCTCATACCGGGCCCCTTATATATGCAAATCGATTCTCAAGGAGTAAACTCCAAAAATATCCCATGCATGCCATACCGCACCACATCCCAACGACACACTCTAAGCGTGTACTCATTCCCAAAAGGCCGGCAACGCATATTGTGATGTTGCTGGTGTTGTCGATGTCTTTGGACGACGGTGATCCCTTAACATCGAGTGAGCCGTCTTCTAGTATGCCTTTTATTATGCATAAAAAAGCTATTACGGGTTTAGCAGATCATTAAATCTGACTTACGTCAACGATACCTTATTTGGCATTGATTGGGTCAGTAGAGTTCTTTAGAAATGAAAGTGACAGGATGTCAGCAGTAGTATCCTATCCTACTCTATCCTAAATGCTTCTATTATTATCCTTGATATATTAAAGGAGCAAGCTGGCGTAATCTATTGCCGCTGTAATTTTTCGATTAGATTGTTTTTTTTTTTGGATTTGGAATCATCTATCTTCAGGGCAACATATCCACTGTTATGCGGGAAAAACCAAATAATATTATTCTGTTCTTTCGTGTTCCTGCAGATTCGACTAATAAATATAACCACTATTATTCATATTCTTTTCTTTCGCAGAAAAAGATCGGTCTGGTGATCTGCCTCGTGACCGGATTCATTATAGTGTTATTGGTGCTCATCATAACGTAATAGTGGACGACATAACACGAGCCATCAAAGCATCAAAATAAGGCTAAGATCTCACGGAGCGATTTTTCCCGATCCCGCCCGCCTCGCGGGCGTTCGAAGAGGTATTTATTTCAAAACTCACGAAACTGCAGTTTTATGCTTTCTCGTACCGTGTTATATCTACCATTTCACATTTCTACGCTAGTTACCGTCCAGCCGCAGCAGGCGCGGGGGTAAATCGCGTCGTGAATTCTTAGCCCAATACTTGCTGCTTGTCTCCGACGGGATGTAATGGTGGCTAGTGATGTAACGCCTAATCTCAAATGGGTATTAAGAATGACGAAAGGACATTGACATTAGTTAAAAGTGATGTCCCTGGGACGTTGTTGCGGTGAAACATTCCCATTACGATAAAAATTTGTCCCACGGACGGAGCCAGTGATAAAAACTTTTAATGGGAGTAAATGTAAATTTCTCAAACGTATTACTAGTCAAATTAAATTTTATCACACTTAATTTTAATTAAATCCAATAAATTATGTAATTTATTCAATAAATATTTAGCTTTAAAGGTTGTTTTATTTTTATTTCATTAAAATTTATTTTGGTTAATTAATTGCAACTTATGATCTCTTGCATTTCATCTGAAATACGACACCAAAGCGAAAAAACGAGTCAAACGAAGCGCAACCTCTTCTCGAAACCGTATATCTTGAGTTATGATAATAACAGATAAAGGAAACCTACACAGGTTGCAGGCAGCACGACTCGCTGCGGTACTCGTCGGTCGGACAGAGTTGTCGGCTGTGTCCTAGCTCCATGCACTTGTAGCACTCACCCACCGCATAGCGAGCGACTCTATCGTCTGGATCCGAGCGGAGCTTATATGAGACTAAACAACTCCTACTAATATCCTAGTCAAGGTCCCAGTCCCCCATTTTTTGCTAAATGGTCTACAGTTGGTTTGGAATTTCTTTGATTGTTTTTCTTGTATTTCTGACAAAAGCTGGTTTGTGATGAGAGGGCGAACCAGACTCAGAGAGGCCAGTAGTCCGTCCACTAGGCGCTCTCCACCTTGCTATAGCATAATACGTTATAACGTGCACCGGTGGATGGTGGCGGGGATAGAGAGAGCAAATATGAAGAGTTGTGGTGGTTATGATGAAGATGATATGATTTTGTATTCACACCGTAACAATATAATATTTTATAAATATTATTACATAATTATTCAACACTGTGAAGTTTTTTGAAGTGAAAACTTCAATATCGTTGTGACTTGAGGTTCGATGAAACAGAACAAGATAGGTAACCGTATTTTATCATTTACTATAAGGTAGATATAGATAGACAGCCGAACGGTAACGGTCTTGGGGTCGACACCAAATGATCGGTGGTTCGATCCTGAGGTCGGATATTTTTGGAGTGAAACTTCTTTCTTAGGCGTAACACTAGACCACAAACTTCAATGGAACCCTCACATTACAACACTAGCCGGTAAACTTAGTTCCGCTGCTTATGCAATCTATAAAATAAGACGGCTTACAGATGTCGACACTGCTAGGACAATATACTTCAGCTATTTTCACAGCATTATGTCGTATGGCATTCTATTGTGGGGCACGGCCGCTGACATTGAAACAGTTTTTATTCTTCAAAAACGCGCTATAAGAGCTATTTATCGGTTGGGATCTCGAACTTCTCTAAGGGATAAATTTAAAGAAATAGGTATAATGACTGTTGCCTCTCAATACATTTATAATTGTATATTGTTTGTGCGTCAGAACATAAATTTATATACGAGGCGCGATGATGTACATAATTTCAATACCAGAAATAAAGATAAACTCAAATTGCCACCGTTGAGACTCCAAAAGGTTCTTGGTTCATTTGTGGGTCAAGGCATATGTTACTATAATAAAATACCAAAAGAAATAATTAATTTACCTTTCAATAAGTTTAAAGTGTCTATAAAAACACGTCTCCTTAAAAAGGGTTACTAAACTGTTAAAGATTTCATTAATGATAAGTCACCTTGGGCTTAATAAAACAGACTAAGTCGTTTTACTTTGCTGAGTTGGTTGAAAATTGTTTAATCGCCACTTCTAAATTTAAAAGTAGTACCTAGCTATACTTAACTTTTGTTAATTAATAATATTAATGTGATGGAAGTTGACATCAACACATGTTTTCAATTTTTGATGTCATCTTTCAATTGACGACACTGTTTGAAACAAAACAGGGAGAAAAAAATAGCCCTTGCTGAGTTTCTTGCCGGTTCTTCTCAGTACAAGGTCTCCCGCCGTAGATTTACGAACCGATGGCGTAGCGTTTGACTTTCACAAGAACTTGTAACAGCCTAGACTGAATAAATGAGTTTGAGTTTGAGTTTTCACTCAATCCAGCGAACCGTCACAGAGCAAAAGAATGAAGTTTAACATTTTTTTGAAGTTATACTTCTTTAGGCGCGTTATGAAAAAATGATGAGAGTGAAATTTTAAGATGCGCGCGCATCACTGTAACACAAAATTTTAACAGCATGAAGTTGGTCGCTTTAGCGACCAACTTCATGCTATTGTTCATGTTACTTTTGTGTTTACCGCACACTAAGAAAATCTACCAACAAAATAGAAATAGAATCTATTTAGTGGGTGCTAACGACTGCATTGTGAAGGCCTATCAAAAGTATTTATTAATCTGGAACAACGGAACCAAAGCGCGATTCAGGAGACTACAGCGCCATCTCTTGACCATTGGTGTAGTGGAACCAAAAACCACATCTTTATTTTTTGTAATAAAGTAACAGTTATAGGTATTCATATTTATAATATTTATCCGCATGTTTCTAGTTTGTATATTCGGATTACGTGTTTGAGTTTCATACAAGTGCAAATCACATATGTTCTAATAAATTATATTCAGTAGCGATTTTAATTGAATATTTTGATTATTTATTTATTTTTTCAAATTAAAACTGAACTTTATTGACTGTGTCCTTTTCCAGACTTTTTATTAATTTATTGTAATTAATTATTTGCATGCAATTAAAAACTAATTTTAAACGATGCCAAAGAAGGATAACTTCTCACGCGCCTACATAAGTACACGCACCCATTTTTTTTTCAAATAAGAGAAAGCCGGTCTCTTATTACTACGAGGTCACATATTATATAATATGTCCAAAAAGAGCATCAATGAGCAAAGCAGAAGTATTTATAGGCGTAATTAAAAAAAACAGCAAGCGGCGCGGAAATTTGAAATTGGGAAACTTGACTTTTTTGTTTACCAATGAAAACATAAAATAATTGTTTCTTAGATTTTCACGCACATTTATTTATTTGATCACCAACATAATAAACACTGACACAACAATCTAGCAGGTAATGATACTTAAGCTTAATGTTATTACAATTATAGGTGAAGACCACATGCGTTATGGAATAGAAGCAACAAATGCTGGTAAACAGTCGATGAAAAAGCCTTTAAAAGCTTTCTAAGATTTAAAAAAATACATAGAATCAACAGTATCCCGGTTAAAATCAATGCATTATAAGAAGAGTTATAATCGAATAAAGTCAACTTATATATATAATAAAAAAAACGAAATTAATTAGTCACAATAAATTAATTTATAGAAATAATAACACAATTAAAATCAAATTACAGTAAAATTAATTAAAATTAGATGTCGTATTAGTTTATTTTTAAAATTGCGAATGTCAGCCAACTTGAATAAGTCCAAATCGTTGCTCTTGCTCATGCTATTCAGCTCTTTGATCATTCTATTTATAGGTGCATTTTGGCCAAGATTAGATCGGCAGTAAGATTCCACGAAAATATTAAATCTTAAGGAGCGAGGGAGGTTTGATTGAGCAGAAAATGTCAGAATTTGCACTAGCTCAGGAGTGTCCGGGATGCCATTCGCTAGTTTATAAAGAAATAACAAGTCCAGCATTCGTCTTCGGTCTGAAAGAGAACAAATTTTAAAATGACTCAGTCTTTCTTCATAATGGAGAAGTGTCCTACCCAGATTACAGGAGTATGTAAGGTGCCATAGAAATCGTTTTTGTATGCATTCCAATCTCTTTTTATATACTTCATAAAATGGATTCCTAACCACACTGCAGTACTCTAAACCACTGCGTACAAAGTAATTGAACAAAATAATCTTAGTTTTAGGAAACCTAAAATCCCTACAATTCCGCAAAATGAAACCAAGATTCTTAAACCCTCTAGAGCAAATCCTATCAATATGAATATTAAATCTTAATTTGCTATCCAACCACACTCTCAAGTCCTTCACAATGTCGGTATCCTCCAAAACTTCGCTCGCAATTTTATACCTTTAATTGGTCAGTACTTTTTTCCTAGTCGTGGTACACGACTTTTCTTTGAAGACGTGACGTCACGCAAATAGTATGTCAACAATAAGTACATAAATCATGAAATAATAGGTAGCACAACTTAACAACCATTAATTACGATCGAACATACATCCTTGATTACGTTTCGTCTACTAATTCATTCCTGGAATCATTGCTGTGTCTGAAAACACGATCATAAATAATATTTCATTGTAAAAAGTGTTTATCGTAATATCTTTATAAATACCGAACCAAATTAAGATTTAATGGTATCATTGCATTCAGAAAATTATTCTCATTCCATTTTACGGCTTGTTTTCAATAAATACGAAAATCACATTCTCAAAAAAAGAAAAAAACAAAACGAAACGTCATGTGACGTCATGTGTGCCTGCGCGCATGAGAGACTTTGTCTATGCAATTGGCATCTTGCGGGACAATCGCCCGGTGACACTCCGACGAGAAGGCTGTATCGCGCGTCACCAAATTCAGTCCGCCACATAGAACATTCCGGTAGCACCATGTTTGGTCGGCCGATTACCGAGCCCGGGGAATGAAGATGGCACGCCGCCATGCCCCGTAGTTTTAGTATTTATTTTTATGGCCTTCTGCCCGTAATGTGCATATAAATAATAAGTATATAAAGTTTAATCTCGCGGCCGCTGCGTGCACGTGGTGTGACATGGGATCACCCACTCCTGATTCTTCGGGTCTTCAAGTTCACCGACGGGCTCAAGTGCCCATGAGCTCCTTCCGCCTACGTGCTTCCTGCTGAGGACTGCGGCGTCAGCCCGTAGACCCCTACCATCAGGGTGCAGCTCGCTGTGACGTCAAGGGTTGGCGTCCTGAGGCATCACCGTCATCGTCGCTTCGCCCAACGAGTGAACGTGGTACCACCAGGGATTCTTGTCAAACCGTGAGCTCACGTAGTTTCCCTTTTTTTGTTTTTTTTCGCGAGTGCACGCGGGTCATTCCCCATCGCCACGTGTCCCATCTGGACTTTAATGACTTTTAGGGGTCAATATATCATTACTTATCATCATCGGTAGTATATCCTAAGAACAATTGATTCGCTGCGGGCCGCCGCCATGTAATCCGCGAGAGTAACTAATAAAAATTGCATGTACTAAAATCCGCCATCTTTGATTTCAATTCCCACGCTACGGTCCTTGTTTTTCAATAGTTTATTGCTGTAACCGAGAGTCTT